AATATCGAATTGGGTTTTCAATCAAACATGTGCTAATGTTAAGTTATTCTCCGCAGAAAGTCACTAAACCTGTGACATATAGTACTTCTCACATAAGAAATCAGCCGATTACTGCAACTTTGCCGAGGAAAGCGGGTAGCCCGGCTGACGCCGGGCTTCCCTCCTTTCTCGGCAAAGTTGCAGTAATCGCCTAATTCTCTACTCTTTCTTTGAAACAATAATTTTGACACATGACTAACAGGGCAGGGCAGTTGATATTCAGTGTATGCCCTGGCTTTGATTAGAAGTCTCAATCTTTTGCTCTCGTTTTGAATGTAATTACTCATTAAATATTTAACTGTTAGGCAACCGAAGCCTTGGGCGGTACTCTCAAATGTTTCGAGTGATGATAACACCATTATCAGGTTTCAATGAACCTCTATGGAGATATCACTACTTGAGAATACCAGATTATTGGCGGTCTGTTAAGTTTTGTCACAATGATATCGAACAAAGGAGATCTTTCATGCACTCCGCATTTACCACTAACTTTTGTCACCCTACTCTACTACCCCGCATTATCAAATGAAACCTACTGAACAGTCAAAGCTACATGAATACGAAAACGTTAGGATTGTGATCAGTAAGCCGCTCTTATCCTCTTGGGCCCCTTATCTTCTCTTATCAGTCCTCATCGGTTCCTATCGCCGAGCAAATGCTCCCGTCATATCCTACATCACTTATTAATATGCCGCAGTTCTAATGTTTACGAAATGCTCTTATCCTACCGAATTTGAACCCCTTAGTTCCTTGGGAGCAGGAGTAATGAATATCCATTCAACCATTTATTCCCGCAAACCCTGCCCCCTATGTGCGGAATCCGGCACACACATACCGACAAACCAACAGTCACACCTAGCGAATCATATGCAGTACATAGGATATCAAGATTTTGCTTGATTTACTGTATTACGAAAAAAGGTGCGAACGAAAAAACGTTTGGCGAAGGCTTTCGAGCTCTACTGTAGATATTAAGATATTTTACCATTTAATCAGTTGGTGAAGTAGTACCTCATTGAGCATTGGTCTGACTTGGTTGAAGTTTTGGTGTAGTTTAATCGCGTAGCTGTGTGGCGTGTTCACCTTTTACGCCTTCTTTCTTTTCTTTTTGTAGGAGATGGTTCTTTTCTTTATTTTTTTTTCTCACAACACTAAAAGGAGGGCTGTTGACGAGACATAAAAAGACTTGACCAAGTCGTCATGTCCCTTTTTTTGTTGATACCCAATCTAAGCTGGGAGCGGTCTTTCCCACCCTCTTCCAAAAACATAGCTTAGACTCAGTTTTCAATGCGATTCTACCTATTTTGATTCTTAATTGTAATAGCTGAAATTTACGGAGGCGGTATAGTGGCAAGTGGCTCAATATCTCACACGCATGGTCAGGGGTTCGGATCCCGGACCCCGCAAAAGCCAACCAAGCTTTCCATCCCTCCAGCGTCGCTTAAATGGTGTCAGACCCGTATGGGAGGATAAGAGCATTGACTTGTACATCGGCTGGCCAACGCAGGTCATCGCATAGGCCACATACGCTCTCATTACGCCACTACAATTCTAAATGGAAGTCGAATGCGGGGCGCATCCCTCAGACGGAATTGATTAACGTCAAAAATTTTATCCTTTATCCTTTTAACAGCTGAAATGAATGATAAAGAAGATTTATCTGGCATGTTCCATAATGTACAAGCAATTAATTTAAAGCTGCAGCAATTCACTTGTTTGCATAGACGCTCTTCCATATTTCAGCTAGACAGACGGAGCTATGAAATCGGTAGAATACCGTCAATGGAGAAAAGCTGCGAACAAGAAATACCCATGATCGCTTTCCATAGAAATCTGGAAATGATTGAATTTCATTATTGTCAATCAGAAAGAAGGATATATAACCTCACCAATGATATTTTCGGAAAGGGCCGGTTTCTGACTTTGGAAAAGGTTCATCATGAACAGTGACAAATTGACTGCTAGCAGAAAGGTGATGGCTTGTTTTCCAGGCTGACTCCGTCTGTTGGATATTCCGGCCTTCACTTTAGTGGCTAGGTATATTACAAATGTCTGTGTCCCGACCTGAATAAGTGATGGTTTCGAGAGGCAAAAGCTCATCGAATTCAGTATCAAAGGAGTACGCAGGTAAGAAATCATAGTGAAAATTAATGTTCAACCTGTATTAATCTCAGAATATGCACGACGAACAGAAGGAATGCAAGCGGCTGCCATTGTCCTTCTCCCGTCAAACCAACAAGTCCTGCCACCGAGTACATCAGCTCACCGACCAGTCCAAGCATCAAAAGTATATGGTCCAAAAGTTCCTACTATCGGTTCGTATAAGAAGGATCGGCCAGAGTTCAATTCTCTCACTACCTTTATCCTATTAACTAAGAGCTTCCAAATTAAATGCTCCCAAACTAAAATCATCTTTCATTCTCCGCTTCTTCAATGTGATTATAACATGGCCGGGCTTTTAGGCACTGCGCTGTCACCGCTTTACTTAGCATTAACTGTCTGAACGTCAAGTTAAGTAATCATAGAAAAAAAAATCTGCGGAAAACAAAAAGATCTCATATCTGTCTATCCTTCATTCATTCTCCAGATCGCTCAAAAGCCTGCCCATTCTCTTGTTTTTTCATTTTTCCGCCCATTCTCTTGTTTTTTCATTTTTCCTTATTTCTTCATTCTTCACTATACCGCATCCCTCCCCCAACCTCTCCTCGAGTTCACCAGTAAAACCCAGTTACGATCCTCAGCAGTGCTGCACTCCTGCAGAATTAGGTATAAAGACATCATAACCGTCAAGGATCGCGCCGTTCCAAATCAGCGTGAGTTGACGATGATGACGTATACTAACATACATACAATACATTGTATGGCCCATAGAAGGCAACTTCCTTCCCTCCCGGTCTAGGCTTACAAACTGGTAAAGGAATGGTTCCTTTAACAGTATGTAAGCCTTTGATAGACTTACCTGGTCTTTCGACGAGTGACTGTCGCGTTTGTCAGTACGACTCAAGCTTCTCATATAGTAAATAGCTATCACACAACCAATAGTAGCCATAATGTACTGTAAACGAAATTAGTTAATCCGATATACTTTTGAAGGAAAGCTTCTCAGAGGTTATAGGAAGTCACGTTCTTATCCCTGTAAGAGTCAATACCTGTACAATGTCGGTAATTGCATATGCAAACGCTGCACTCGTATTTTCGCCCAGAATTGAGTAACCGTAATAAATGAGCATAGACGAGAATGTTCCTATCAGAAAAATCAATCCTAGAAATAGCCCTGAAAACAAATTCTTTGTTTCCCTGCTCGGTGATAAATGCTAATTATTGGACCGTACCAGTTGTAGTGTTCGAGCAGTCCATCCGAATGTGGTATTTCCGTTTCACGTACTCTGAATTATAATGTACTCGGCCTATGTTTTTCCAGACAATATACATCACGGCAGCAGCGATAAGTGAATATTCCACGATAGCCGCATACATCATTTCGGACACACTGCCTGCAAAAGTACTGTTAATTGACTTTCAGTCGAATCTTAGGCAAAAAGCACCGTAATCATGCCTTGTTTGGAAGTGGTCATCTTACATTGTCAGGAAAATAAAAATAACAGAAGACATCCCAAGGGGGTGAAAGTGAAGAAGGAAATTTCTCATGTGAGTTCATATTAACTCCATATTAGGCGCATCTTGCAGCAGAGTCAACAGTGGGGCCAGTTGCTATAACTACTGCGTGAAACTGGTTTTCTTGTCCTTCACTCTTGTTTCCTGGAAGGATTCGTAGTCTTGGGTCACTTTCCAAGAAGGTTGAAGCTGTTGCTTACTCAATTTTTCAAAACCAACCACCAATCAAACCAACCCGGAGGAATGGCCCAGGCAAAATCTATCCGGAATTGAACTGTGACTATGTGTGTGAACCGCTTGCCACTACACCACCTCCGCCCCCTACCACTATTGCTCTTAGAAAACTTGAACGCTCAGACGCAAGTTATCAATTTTCGTACACGCTCCGCTTCCTATGAGCGAAGTTCAACCACTATCATTAGTGTTTCCATGCTGCTTCCTGCATTTCATAGTAGAATTATCACTCGTGGCTTAGAAGTCTAAAATATTGGCAATGAAGAGGCCCCAAAATTTTGGAGCACCTTGTACATCACCTGGTCGCCACAAGTTGTCATAGAAGCCACATATGCAACCATAACTACTATTACTATTTTAAATAGAAGTCGTATAGAAGAACAGGTTGGGCATTTCAAAAACAAAATTGATAAACGCTGAAGAATTTATCCTTCTCCTTATTTGACTTTGTCGAAGGTTTGCTCTCACGTATGTTCGTCACATAACATAACATAACATAACATAACCCCTCGCATTCATTAAGAAGGAGCGTATTTCCAAGAGCGCAAATGTGATCTGAAGGGTATAGTTCGCAGCAATAATTGCCAAAACCTTTCCAAAAACAGGTGAATAACGAGTACTGCTTCACCAATCAAACCATTTTTCAGTCATCCGTAGTATTTCCGTAGTAATGATTTCTTCTTCGATAGGTAGCAAGGCTCTATGAAACCTTTTCGTACACAACTATACATATGAGGGTTCAATTTCATTCTTCTAGTTGTTCTACAGATTCAGATAGGCAGGTACCTAGCATGCATTCCACTGATTGGCAACCACTTTCGATATCTCGGTGTTCAAACGCATCAACCGTGGCTTTATCCATTCCAGACTCATTTTGGCTGTGTATTACATGGAAGACTTCTCTGAAACCATTTCTGTAGTTGATGTGAAGGCAACGACATCACTAAAGACACGGCGCACCTGATCTCCTTCTCCATTGCTCCTTCTTCCAATAATACGTATCGAATCCACGTCCATAAATTGGCAGCTATGAGGTGCATGGTTCCAAATCGTGCTATTGGATGATGACCAGTGATGGATAGCTTTGAATGAGAGCGATAACATTTGTACGTAACGTTTTACACTTTTATATTATCCAGTTCCATATCGTGCTCAAGAGTATTATGGCGGTCTTTCGTTTGACCGTTTACCAGTCAATCACAGACAACCAGGTGGTGCTTTCGCACACGTATGGGAACAAGTTCCAGACTGGCATTCTTTAAGGCGATCGTAAGAGAGTCGGCAAATCGGTATGAAACTTAACTGGGAGGAGAGAACTTCAGCTTCAACTTCTTCTAGTTACAGAATGTCATTGTGTGAGCACTACACGAATTCATATTTGATAAAGGTTCCGATTGGAAGTGGGAGAATGGATGCATCCCACCGTGAATTTGATCAATATTTGAATCACTATTTTGAATTTTTCAACTTACCGACCTTTGAGTTACAGAAGATAAAATGCATTTGGACAAAAATGAACACGATGGAGAATACTTCTAGCGTAGTGATGAATACGGAGCAACTTGAGTCGACGAAACACAAAAAGACCAGGAATGAATAATAAACAACCCCAATAACCCCGAACACTGAAATGAAACCTTTTTCTTTCTGAAAAAAGTGAGCGACATTATGAATCTTTTTTTACTTACCAACGCAGCCAAATCTCAGGAAGAGACTCCCGGTTGAAGTACCGGCATGAGTCACCTTTCTTGTGGTGCTGACAGTAGAACACAGCGATGACTCCCTAGTATCAGGCTTCTTCAGACAGTTCTGGAAATTTCTGGTTCCTTACACCACATCATAGAATTCAGCATTCACTTCCGAAGGTACATAATTGTAGTGGCCACCTGACAATAAGATCAGACGTATGCCGACGATCGCTGATTTCAAACATGATCTCAAATACGCATTCCAAATTGCGGAACCGTTTTGAGTATGTAGTAACGGAAGCATTTCTTCCATGTGATATGGGATTTGGTCGATCGTCTAAGCAAGACAGGGTTCCTTATCTGGATGTGAAGCAATGGCGCAGCAGGTAGAGCGATGGACTCTGTGACACGAGGGCGTACCGACCGACATGCTTGAACTTGCTTTCTTACATATGTGCATACATAGAACATATACGTTTATTGCTCCTGTTTTTGATGCTAAGCCTTGCAAAGCCCTTCAAATAAATACCCCGCTGCTATATGCAGCCTTCGCTTGTACGAAACATGGGAGACAGTTCTCAGATGAAGCCCAGTCCCGACCTCTTCTGAATTCGAAAGGGATCCTCCTCTAGACCAAACAACGAACACCTGATGACGAAACCCTGCCAAAACAATAACGATGTACATTTTCTTGAAATAAAGTTGGTTCCCATCTTCCGACGCATAACGACGCTTATTCTGTTAAAGCGAATCTGCAGCGACGGTAAAAGGCAATTCTGGACTAATTTGGATTGTTGTAGTCAGCTCTTTGCACAAATGAACAACTGAGATCTCGTCCGGATACCCTTCCATGTCATTTCCGTCATCGAAACCTCGTACAACCCCTTTTTCACCACTTCTAAAGAACCTTACTTTCTTCGCAAGACGGCTAAGGAGCCTTATTTTTTGCAAAAGCGGCATCTTGAGGCCGTTTCCGTCCAGACGAAGTGAGCGGCAGTATGATAAATGCGTTGAGAGGATCAGAAGAATTCAAAATCTTTGGAAAATACTGCCGGACTTCACTGACAATATTCGAATAGCACAGCGGAAACTGCTCCTCATACATGAAAAAAAGCAAATGGTCTAATAAAAAACGATGGTTTTCCACATGTTCTACAGAAGAAATGACTAGCCTCTTCAATGGTAGCCATTACTTTCTGCTTCACCCCAAAAAGCTACTAAGCTATTTTTGAGATGTACTGGTGTGGGCGTAGCATCGGAAGAAAGAATGGATTGACAGTTTCGTCTCATAAAACATTATAGTCACGCCTGCACCCTGATTGTTTTCGTTCCTATCGAGAGAAAAGACTAGGATCGGCTTCTGAATCAAATGGCTTTACAACAGTTCACCGAAATCGTGACACCTAGCAAAATGAGCCAACTGGTTTTTTTTATATTTGATGTTTTGTTAACTGCTGTTGTTTCGCGACAGTACGCGTTCTGAAAGTCTCACAATGCTGGCGATTCATGGACAAAACTTCAGTCTCGGACGGGACTCGAGCCCGTACTTGTGCTTTCCGGGCACTGTGCTCTTTTCCCTATACTGCAGAGACCCCGCTTGTCCTCGCCTTCCTAACGGCTTACAAGCCATAGCTTATCAACGCTCACACAAACAACGTGTTGAGCCAGTATCAGCATAGAACTGTTAAAGGCACGGTTCACGATAAAAATGGTTACCGAGTTGTTCCCTCAAGAATACTCAGTGACCCCCATGGGTGGTGGAAGGATAACTCTCGCTCCTACAACCTCGGCGCTTAGGGCACAGTGGAAGCTCTGTTGCTGCCGTAACTGTCTTTAACGCCACTCGATCGATGTCACGTCAGACGAGTGTTGAGACAATACAGATTGTAACTATTCGCTCTAGGACCCACACACATTCAGCTGATCGCCGAGTGTTGAGGTGATGTTTTCCACCCATTCTTTTTTCCTCTGTTATTCTTTTTGCTGCCGTGATCCCTTATTTTACTCCTAGAGGCTGAAAAAGGTGAGCTTTTTGTTGTTATTGGGGCTTTTTGTTCACTTATGCCTATACGTGAATGAAATTTTGCTTACCATAGTCTGTTATTCGAACCAGGACCCATACGCACGCATTGAAACACATTGTATAGCCCGTCCGAATGCCCCATTCTTCGTTTTTCTGGTCTCATTCTCGTCCAACCCCCTTTTCAACAGTTCTTCGAAGCCTTTTTCGCTTCAGAAACACCTATTCACGCAGTTTCTTCACCTTCATCGCACCATTTTCGATCTTGTCTTCTATTTTTCATCATGATCTGGATTACTCAAAGCACAAGTACGTAATCGAGTTCCGTAAGAGACTGAAGCTTTGTTCATAAATCGCCAACCTTGTGAGACTAGTTTTGAATAAATCCACTTTGTTTCTACCTTTCGAGGATGGGCTATAATGAATGAAAGACTCTTCCTATGTCTCTTACCACCATAGAGAGATGCATGTGATCAATATAAGGTCCAAAAGAGTTGCAAGCCTCTTACATGATTCATAAAAAAGCTATACAAGTCGTACACGGGATGCAAACAATCTTGTCACGGCTACGAGTCCATCGCCTTTCCTACTGCTTGTTGCTTCACATCTCACTAAGAAACTCTGCTCTGCTTACATACTTGACTAATGCTTAGTACATGGAGGATAGGTTCGTTCCAAAACCGTTTTGCAGGATCAAATACGTATTTGAGATCAGCGCTCAGAAACGTACGGGTCGGTACGCATCTCATGGGCACTGCATTTTGTGTGGTGGGAGTGTCGCACTATCAAATTTATTACATGGTTCCTGCATGGCGCTGTTTGGGTCAAGAAACATTGTCTAAAAGGGTACTGGCCCTGTTTGTTGCCCCTTCTTCTAGGCAATCAACCTTCCTCCGCTCGGAAAATATTAACTGGTACCAGATCTCTATGGCTATTCATAGTCCGCCTGCTGGCGAGCCACCGTGCCGCAGCCGGCGTGCCACGAGGCAGCGCTAGGGGGGAGGAGGGCGGCAGACCGTCGGTCGAAGGGTTGAAAAAAAGGAAGAACAAGATCTAAAACCAAACAACCAGGGGCTGGTACAAATGGTTTTTGATCTTGTCTCTCCATGTTTACAGCCCTTTTCCCCCGACCGTCTGCCGTTCTCCTTCCCCCCCCC